ATGTTAGATAATCATGTGGGTTCACACACCCCAGAACCAAACATTTTGACTTCTGGACTTGCATATTCGGCATGACGATATGAACTGCTAAATCACACAGCGAGGAAAAAAATGGCGGACAATGAAATCCAGTTGGCCGGAAATACATTACCATAAATGGTAGTTCCGAAGAAAAAAGTGTGATGAAATAAACAATGAAACGAAATAAGCAACAGCAGATTTTGAACAAACTGAAAAATCTGACCCATAAAACAATATAAAAATATCTTTGCAGTAACAGAACAGAATAAATTAAAGTTTTCTACACTCCTAGACACTAAAATTGCACAAAAAATAGTTTATAAATGCAAAAAAGTGCATTTAGCATGATATGTCTCCTTTAAAGTTGTTTTTTAATAAGGAGCAGACTTAAGATTTTCTTTTCTTTCTGCACCATTTTCATTCAAAAATTTATTTACTTTATTTTTAATGGACTTGTTGTTGTTTTTACTTCTAGATTTTACAGAAGGAGCCAAAGCCAAAACATAAATAAATCCATCCATCCATCCATTTCCTGTACACGCTTCTTCCTTTTCAGGGTTGCGTGGGTCACTGGTGCCCATATCCAGCAGTACATACATAAATAAATAACCCTGACAAAATATTCTGAATCCTGAGTTAAAAGTCATAATTCTGATATTAAAGTCATAATTCTGAGAAAATAGTCAGAATTTTAAGAATAAAATCATAATCCTGTATAAACTTATTCCTAATTCTGAGAGCAAAGTCTGAATTCTTTCTGAGAATTCTGAGATTAAAGTGAGAAAAAATTAAACGATAGAAAGAGCATGTTTGATGAATTAACCTGTAAAAATTTAAATGCATTTAAAAAGTTCAATTTAGATGAAAAAAGCAAAAATTAGCTGAAATAACAGAATGATTAGAATAAAGAAGCTGATAGAAAAAGGAGCAGCTAAAATTTCAGAAAAAAGCTGAAATTAGCACAAAGTTGGGGGAAAAAAGAACAGAGTGAAAAGTACCTCAAAAATTTATAAATATTTTGAATGGTTTTAAGGACGTTAAAGACAACTCCACAGAGTTCATGCAGGTTTCAGTAAGTTACATTTAAGACCTTTTAAAGACCATCAGGAATGGCCGACGCATCAACAAAAACATTCAATGAAATTATAACATAGAAACCTATTATTGCTATCAATTTAGCTATTAAAGAATATTTAATTTTAATGCAAAAACACCAAATTATTTTAATAAAACAGTCATATCCATGAGACCTTCATATCGACTGCTGTGTACCGCTTCTGAGTGCAAAAATCACTGATATCAGCCAAGTGTCATTGAAAACACACTTTCCATGTTTAAACCACAAGCAGTGGACACGACTGAACTTCTTTGGTTTTTGGACAGGTTAATAAGAAGCTGTATGTGGGGGGTTGTATCAGCAAAGAGGTTGAAAACATGGAAGTAAACTGTGGCATTTTTTGCCTGCAGTTATCACAAGATATGTAGTTTAATCACGGACCAAGACCGGTAGCAAACTTACTTCATGAAGACAGATCACGTCAACTTCTGATTACAGTGATTTACTCTGTTCATTATGCAGCCAAAGCTTCTCGGGAATGATCGAAAGTAAAAAAATTAAGACTTGACAAATTTATATTTAAGGCTTGGATGAAAATCTGGCTGTTTAAAATGAGTTTTTTTAGGCCTAAAATTTTGATTTTCAAATTTTAGACTTCTTAAGACCCTGCATGAACCCTGACTCCATTCATTTTCAGTGAGAAAAAAAGTGTCAGGACAAGCTAAACAGCTGAAACAATAAAAAAAAAAAAAACCTAAAATATTAAGTTGTGTGCACACATGAAATTAATGAGCTGAAAGTTCTGATAAACAAATTGTTGAAACAGAACAAAATTATCAAATGAGTTAGATGCCGAAAAATGTTTGGAAGAAAAATGGATCACCTCAAAAAGTCTTTAAGAATTATTACACCTCATATATTTATAAATAAACATCATGATTACACACTGACCCTTCCATCTGCCTGAAAAACTGGAGTCAAAACTGAATCTGGAACCACAGACCTGACCATAAAAATAATAATTAAACAAACTTACTAACATCTGTGATCACATGAAAGGGACTCATACAGGTATTGTCAAAATTATAAACTCATAAAAACACTTCCGATTTCACTAGTCATGTTCAGAAACCCCAAAATAAAAGTTTTTTTTTGTTTTGTTTGGAGGGACTTTTCACTGCAGAATGTTTAAATAAATAATCGTTTAATTATTAAGCATGATTAAAGTGTAAAAAAGATAAACCCAGAATCAGATAGTTATAAAAACTCTTTCAGATTTATTTTGTTCAGAAAAACAAAACTGGAATCTTTTAAAACAACATAACAACCTTCATTATTTTAGAATCTCAGACATCAAAGAGAGAGTGTGTGTCAGTGTGTGTGTCAGTGTTATGTAGATGTGTGTGGGTACGCTGCTGTAAAATCTGCCTGTGTGTCCACGATGAGGTTCAGGGCGCTGTTGGCTTGTTGCTGCAGCTCGTCGTCCAGCAGCGTCTCTCCAATCACAAACCGATCCTGAACAAACAGGAAGTCAGGCGGTTAATGCAGCTCAGGAAGGAAAACAATAAAACTCAAGGTTGTTTGAATTTCCCACCTTCCTCCTGGAGCCCGGTGGTGCAACAGGGGGGTTAAAGGTCATGTCTTTGACAGAGTAGTCTTCAAAAAGCTCCAGAGGTGACCTGGACAGGTGAGGGTTTGAATCATAATAAAAAACAAAGACATATAATAAACATAAAACAGGAGACATGTTTTCAGTCCAAACGCTGAGTGGACAGGTCCAAAAAGAAGCTGCGGTTTTTACCTGCGGCTCAGCTCCACACTGAGAGACGACGAGCCTTCACTGGGAGCTCCGTGACTCAGGTGAACCGCAAACTGCTGAACCACTGGGTGGTAATGTCTCTGAGAACACAAACATATGATCAACACCACAGCGCACCTGTGTGTGTACCTGCACTGTGTGTGATTATATACCTGCAGTGTGTGATTATATACCTGCAGTGTGTGAGATTATATACCTGCAGCGTGTGTGATTATATACCTGCAGTGTGTGTTTATATACCTGCAGTGTGTGATTATATACCTGCAGTGTGTGTGAT